AGTTCCCAGAACTACATTCCCGGGCCACATTTTGAATGCTGAGGCAGGCTGAGGCTGAGGCTGAGGCAGGCTGATGCTGAGGCAGGCTGAGGCTGAGGCTGAGGCTGATGCAGGCTGAGGCTGAGGCAGCCTGAGGCTGACGCCGCGGCTGAAGGCAGACTGAGGCTGAGGCTGAAGCAGGCTGAGGCTGAGGCTGAGGCAGGCTGAGGCTGAGGCAGGCTGAGGCTGAGGCTGAGGCAGGCTGAGGCTGAGGCTGTGTCTGTGACTGCCGTTGCCACTGCGACTGTCGTCGCGAATGCGACTGCGACTGCGAGAACAACACAATTCTACAACTGGATTCTCATCTGAATCTTAAGGGGAATGCTTCCATATATGCTCCTACACATCGCTGTTAGGTTGCTTTGCCGGGATAATTACCTAACAGCGAAAACTGATAGGTTTCTAGTTGACTCAAAAGAGCTCACAGATCACTCCACAGGGGGGTCTGGGCGGGTGCCGGACAGGGTGCCGCAAAGATGATCGCAGATTTCCATTCACACACTTCGGCTCTTTCGACCTCCCAGCACTCCATACCCGGCCACAGTCGAATGCCCGTTAGCCAACTATAGCGCCACATATCGCGTGCTCTTCGACTTCCCAGAACTCCATTCCCGGAGCAACATATTTAGAATGCATCCGGACACAACTGTAGGCCAATTCGTGCTCTTCGACTTCCCAAAACTCCATTCCCGGGCCACATTTTGGATGCCCGGAGCCAACTGTAGGCCACTTCGTGCTCTTCGACTTCCCAGAACTCCATTCCCGGGCCACATTTTGGATGCCCGGAGCCAACTGTAGGCCACTTCGTGCTCTTCGATTTCCCAGAACTCCATTCCCGGGCCACATTTTGGATGCCTGGAGCCAACTGTAGGCCACTTCGTGCTCTTCAAGTTCCCAGAACTCAATTCCTGTGTATGATTTTGAATGCCCGGAGCCAACTGTAGGCCACCTCGTGTTCTTCTAGTTCCCAAAATTTCATTCCTGGGCCACATTTTGAATGCTGAGGCAGGCTGATGCTGCGGCCGAGGCAGGCTGAGGCTGAGGCAGGCTGAGGCTGAGGCCGAGGCTGAGGGCAGACTGAGGCTGAGGCTGAAGCAGACTGAGGCTGAGGCTGAGGCAGGCTGAGGCTGAGGCTGAAGCAGGCTGATGCTGAGGCAGGCTGAGGCTGAGGCTGAGGCTGATGCAGGCTGAGGCTGAGGCAGGCTGAGGCTGAGGCCGAGGCTGAAGCAGACTGAGGCTGAGGCTGAAGCAGGCTGAGGCTGAGGCTGAGGCAGGCTGAGGCTGAGGCAGGCTGAGGCTGAGGCTGAGGCAGGCTGAGGTTGAGGCTGTGACTGCGACTGCCGTTGCCACTGCGACTGTCATCGCGAATGCGACTACGACTGCGAGAACAGCAGAACTCTACAACTGGATTCTCATTTGAAACTTAAGGGGAATGCTTCCAGATATGCTCCTACACATCGCTGTTAGGTTGCATCGTCAATATGCTCCTACACTTCGTGTTCTTCGATTTCCCAGAACTCCATTCCCGGGCCACATTCTGAATGCCCGGAGCCAACTGTACGCCACTTCGTGCTCTTCGACTTCCCAGAACTCCATTCCCGGGCCACATTTTGGATGCCCGGAGCCAACTGTAGGCCACATCGTGCTCTTCGATTTCCCAGAACTCCATTCCCGGGCCACATTTTGGATGCCCGGAGCCAACTGTAGGCCACTTCGTGCTCTTCAAGTTCCCAGAACTCCATTCCTGGGCATGATTTTGAATGCCCGGAGCCAACTGTAGGCCACTTCGTGTTCTCTTTCGAGTTCCCGAAAATTCCATTCCCCAGCATTACATTTTGAAGGGCTGAGGCAGGCTGAGGCTGAGGCTGAGGCAGGCTGATGCTGAGGCAGGCTGAGGCTGAGGCAGAGGCTGATGCAGGCTGAGGCTGAGGCAGCCTGAGGCTGACGCCGAGGCTGAAGGCAGACTGAAGCTGAGGCTGAAGCAGGCTGAGGCTGAGGCTGAGGCAGGCTGAGGCTGAGGCAGGCTGAGGCTGAGGCTGAGGCAGGCTGAGGCTGAGGCTGTGACTGTGACTGCCGTTGCCACTGCGACTGTCATCGCGAATGCGACTACGACACGAGAACAGCACACAACTACAACTGGATTCACAATCTGAATCGTAAGGGAATGCTTCCAAATAAGCTCCCTACACATCGCTGTTAGGTTGCTTTGCCGGGATAATTTACCTAACAGCTCTTGCTGATAGGTTTCTAGTGGTCTCAAAAGAGAGCATCATGACTCCTCAGGGGGGTCGGGGCGGGGCCCCGGACAGAGCAGCCGCGCGGACTATGCGCCGCCGCACTCGTTTTAAGCAAACAGTCACACATTTCGTGCTCTTTGACCTCCCAGAACTCCATTCCCGGGCCACATTTTGAATGCCCGGAGCCAACTGTAGGCCACTTCGTGCTCTTCGACTTCCCAGAACTCCATTCCCGGCCCACATTTTGGATGCCCGGAGCCAACTGTAGGCCACTTCGTGCTCTTCGACTTCCCAGAACTCCATTCCCGGGCCACATTTTGGATGCCCTGGAGCCAACTGTAGGCCACTTCGTGCTCTTCAAGTTCCCAGAACTCCATTCCTGGGCATGATTTTGAATGCCCGGAGCCAACTGTAGGCCACTTCGTGTTTTTCTAGTTCCCAGAACTCCATTCCTGGACCACATTTTGAATGCTGAGGCAGGCTGATGCTGCGGCCGAGGCAGGCTGAGGCTGAGGCAGGCTGAGGCTGAGGCCGAGGCTGAAGGCAGACTGAGGCTGAGGCTGAAGCAGACTGAGGCTGAGGCTGAGGCAGGCTGAGGCTGAGGCTGAAGCAGGCTGATGCTGAGGCAGGCTGAGGCTGAGGCTGAGCTGATGCAGGCTGAGGCTGAGGCAGGCTGAGGCTGAGGCCGAGGCTGGCAGACTGAGGCTGAGGCTGAAGCAGGCTGAGGCTGAGGCTGAGGCAGGCTGAGGCTGAGGCAGGCTGAGGCTGAGGCTGAGGCAGGCTGAGGTTGAGGCTGTGACTTCGACTGCCGTTGCCGCTGCGACTGTCAT